TGGTTGAGATTCTTGACTGGCAGCCCAGCGCCTGGGCAGCAGTGCGAGCTCCCACCTGGAGCTGCCCGACCCCCTCCAGTCCTCTCCTTGATCTTCTTGGGCAATCCCCTGACAAGCAGGAAGGGGCAGAGTACCCACCCTCCTGGGATTATCTGCAGAACCATCAGCCTGCACAGGCTGGCTTCAGAGTGACTTGCTTTCTCCTCTTCCGCACCCGGGGGTGTGTGTGGGGTGTGTGTGTGGAGGGTGAGGGAGAATATTGCTGCTGGCTCTGGAATAAAATGCTGCCTCTGTTTGGGAGACAAAGAACAGAGTGGGTCCTCCGGGTCAGCTGTCTCTCCAGGCTGGCAGGCCCCTGGCCTCCCCCAGGCCCCCCAGGAGCAGGGCCTTCTGCAGCCAGGCTGGGAACTGCTGCACCATTGGTGTGTTTTCACTGGAACCTGACGGAGTGTTTTACCTTAAGAGACCCCAGGCAGCTTCCTTGCTAGGAAGATATTCATTTGCTGAGGTGGGGCTGGGGGTGCAGAGATAGGAAGTGCTGTGGCTGGGAGGCTGCCTGGCCAGCGAGTAGGTGGTGGAGCGAGTGAGGGGGTGTGCGCTGTAAAACAGGGTGAGTGCTGTAAAACAGGGTGAGTGCATGTGCGCCAGCGTGTGCAAGGACACGGTAAGGGGTGTACATGTACTGTCTCGTGAGTAAGAGCTTGTGTGTGTGTTGGGATGGGAAGACATGTACTGGTATGAGAGCCCGCATGAGACGTGTATGTGTGAGTACTTGCGTGGAAGTTTTGCACTCGGGTTTGAGGCTGTGCAGAAGTACGCATGGCTCACCAGGTGTGGGGCTGTGTGGGCTGCCTCGTGTGAGCCAGCCCATGCGCAGGCATGTTTTGTGAGAGCCTTCAGAGAACGCATGAGCATGTGTGCCAGTGCGAGTGCGGGACGCGGGGAGGCGGGAGAGCCCGAGTGGGAGGCCCCGCGAAGGAGTGGGAGTGGGAGTGGGAGTGCCGGCGGGAGACCTGCGGGGGCGCGCCCGGGCTGACGCGTGCGCGCCAGTGCGCGCGTGAGTGCGAGCGCGCGCCGCCGCCCCCCGCCGGGGTCGGAGCCGGTTGCCATGGGAACGCGCCGCGGCCCGAGTTAATCATTTCCTGTGGAAAGTGTGCGGGAGGGGCGCGAGCGGGCGGGCAGAGGAGGCGGCGGCGTGGAGCTGCCTCCTGCCGGCGGGCCGGGCCGGGCCGAGCCCCGGGCGCTGCGGCGACGCCGGGATCCTGCCTCCGCCAGGCCGGTGAGTGGGGGGCCCAGGCGGGCTGGGTGCGGGCGGGGCGCTGGGGCTCCGCCCAGCCCGCCGTTCGGGGAGCCGCGTCCGGGCCGGCCCTGCCCTCGGGACCCCTCTGCCCCGACCCGCTGGGGGCGCGGGGAGGAAAAGGCCCGGGAGACCCAGCCCTGCGAGGTCCCTTTCAGCGCCGTTCAGCCCTAGTCGAGGACCTTGCTGGGAGTAGGCACGGGGGCGGCGTGTCCCCCGGGATCCGAGCAGCCTCGGGACCCCGTTTGGATTTCATTGAACGAGGAGAGCGCAGACCCTACCCGGGATCGGCGTGTCAATCGGCGCCCCCCCTCCTCTTCTTGGGGTCTCCCCCACCCCCAGGGCTCCTTGGAAGGCTGCCGTTGGGTCCCTCCCACCACGTCCCTTGGGGAGTTCGCTTTTTCCCTGGCAGGGCCTGGGGCGGGGTGCCCCAGCCCAGAGGTTAGGAAGAAGGGCCTTGGCCGGCGCTGTCCGGGTGGTGAGGAATCGGGCCATGACCGCCGCAGCAGTTGTGAGGGTCTCAGCAGGGAGGGCGATCCCAGGACCACCCCCTTAAGCCCCGCATTGCTAGTTAGAGCAGAACTCTGGCTGGTGCAGTGAAGGGCCTGGTCCTGGGAGATATTAAAGAGGAAGCTGTGTTTAAATTCTGGAGTACCATTTACTGTCACCCCCCGCCCCCGCCACCTCCATAGCCCAACACTGTCTCAAGATTGCAGGTTGTGGCCACCCCTGGCCCTTTCACCTTCCCCGACTTTTCCTCTGCCTGGAAAGGGTGAGCACCCATTCTTTCCCAGACGTGTATTCCCCATGCCGTTGTTAAAGTAGCCGTCTCCTTCACCAGGGAGAGTCACTTGCTAGGAATGCAGCCTCAGAATGGGGCCCTGCATTTGCAGTGACTGGACTTTAGGGGCACAGGGTGGTGAGTTCTGCTGTTCATAGGGGCACTGGGGAGCAGAGGGTTTGAAATCTGGGTTGCCCTGGAAAGCCCAGGATAAATGATGGTGTGCAGGGAGGTGGCATTCCCTGTGCAACTTCCTTGACCTTCTGCCTGCTCTCCCAGGGGGACCAAGCCCTGCCGGCTGCAGTCTCTGGGCAGCTGTCCAGCCTGTCCCCCCAATCTTTGCAAAGTTCCTGATCTAGGGCAGGGGGAGAATTGCAGGTCTGCTGCCCTGGTCTAAACCCAGAGAGGCAGAGACCCTCTTCCCCAGCCAGCCCCTCTGCATTCACCCACCACTGGAGCGAAGTCACTGAAAAATAAAATTTTGGAGCTCTTTGTATATGCCAGTATTGTTCTGAACACTTGGCCTTGTCTAATCTTTAGAGCAACCCTATAAGGTGGAGTTCTCCCCATTTCATAGATGGAAATAATGAGGTACAGAGAGGCAAAGTAATTCTCCCAAGGTCACACATCTAGTAAACAGTGGAGCCAGGTTCTGAACCAGTCCCACTGCCCTCCCCCACGAATTCTAGGTTGGTAGAAGTCCCTGGACACCAGGTTTCATCTCAGATGCCCATGTAAAATGAGAGAGAGAGTGCTGCTTTCTTGGCCCAGAACCCTGGGCTTAAGATTCCTTGATACTTTTGACCTTCACACCCCTGAGGCTGCTAAATTCAGCTGCTTTTTCCTCTTCAGGATCTAGCACACACCCTTCCTCTTTCTTCCTGGTATCTTCCTGGCTGACTCTTCCACTTCCCTTCCTGATAACCACAGAAACGCTATCTCCTCCTGTCCCTGCCCCTCAGACGGAACTGATCTCCCTGAAAGTCTTCTCTGTCCACTGTGGAGTCAGCCTCCAATGCCCTGCACCGTCTCACCTTCCCAGCAGCCAAGCATGCAGATGGACCTGTCTTGCTCCTTCCTTTGCCCATTGGACAGCTGGTCTGCAGGGTTGGTTGTGTGCCCAGCTCTGTGCCAAGCAGCCTGGAGAAGACGACATTTGGCTGCTCCCCTTGGTTTCTTCCACGCCACACTGGTCCATCTCTGTTTCCTCAGTGGAGCTGGCCCATGTATTTAGATCAGCCTCTGCCCTGTCCTTTGGCCCACATTCCCATCCCCTTCCCAGTAAGACTGCACCCAGGAGCCTCCTAGTTGTTCTCAGTCAAGGAAGGAAGAGACTATGGCTCCCTTGCCAGGTGCCTGGCATTCTTCCAGGGTTGGGCTCTGCAAACATCAGACACCAGAGCTTCAGGCCCCTAACCCCTGAACTCTTTACTTTTTTTTTTTTTTTTTGCCTCTCAATGCTTTAGTCACTCCTGTCCCTCTGTCTCCCCAACATGCTCAATTCTCTCCTATTCTAGACACCACATCCTCTCCTTCCCATCTTAGCCAAACACCCTCAAGGAGAAGGAAGTGGCTTCTTCCTCCCTCAGCTCCCTCCCCACTCTTTGAGCCCTCCCAAGTTTGCCATCTGCCCTTCTCCCTCCACAGGCTCAGGCTTTCTGCCTGTCTGGGCTTCCAGTCCTCCACGTCTGTGGCATGATGCACTGGGCACTGACCAACCTCTCCTTCCCACTTACACTTCAGTCACTTCTGAAAACTCTATACTTGCCTGGAGCTCCTGTCCCTCTCTCACTTTCTTTCTGCCGCTTTCCACCCCCGTGAGCCCTGTTATCACATGGCTGTCTCCTCTTGCTCAAGCTTTGATGATTGCCTCCTCACCTGTGGCATCGGTGGCCCTGTTTAGCTCTGAGTCTGTGTCCAGCCCTGACCTCTCTTCTAGGCTTCATTTCAAGCTTGTGTGTGTTCATTTCAGAACGTTCACCACACAAGTCATCCCAGAGTGCTTAGTGTGGGTGCAGCTGCAGGCTGGGTGCAATGGGGCTGCAAACATGAATGTGTGTGAGCTGTGGGACCCATCGTGGGTCAGGGGAGGTGGACACCCTTCAAATAGCTATCTTCACTTCTTGGCAGGAAGTGGCCACTGCAGTGAGGGATGGGGAGAGTAGTTGACAGCCCAGAAAGCTCCACTAGGAAGTCCTTCGGTTACCCCCACCTCAATCTTAAAACCCCATGTTGCCTCTCCGAGCTGACTTCGCTGCTTCTGTAAATGACATTACTGTCTGAGTCTGGGACTGTAGCATGATCACCTTAAATGCCCTCAAGGTTGCTTTGCACACAGTAGGTGCTCAGTAAAGACCTGTGCAGGGAATATCCGAGCTCTGTTCATTTGTTCAGTTCATGAGGGAACTATCCCTGACTGAAGCTTTCCATCCCTGGCCAATGCTCCCCACCCCCCTCCATTCCCCATACCACCTGGTGCCTGGCCCGCACCTGCAGCCTCCAGCAGCCTGCTCAGACTAAGGGTTTTTGAAGTGTTTATCTCCCTTCTGACCGGGAGCTTTCAGGCCTCATCTCTTCTGATCCAAAAGAACCCCTGGCAGATGCCTGGCACCCAGTAGGCATTATTAAATGAAGACTGAATGAATCTTTGTATCTCAACACCCATACGGTGCCTGCCACATGCTAGGCACAGAGCGCAGGCTAGTCGAATACATGAATGAGAATTTGCTGCATATAGACTTCACTTGTCACTGACCACAGTCAGGGCCCTTTTGAGTCCCTCCTCAGTGAAATGTTAATATTCAGAGCATTCACTGCTCTGCTGACAGACCTTAGGCAGAGGAACCTGAAGCCTAAGGGTTAAGAATGTGGTTAAGTGCAATTAGAAAATTAGATGTCTTGGAGGAAAAGGATTAGACTTACGGAGACGCTGCTGACTCGCGGTGCCTCCTCTGTGTGGGGCTAGGACCTGGCTTGTCCTCACGCTGCCAGGCTCAGCGCGGAAGGGCTCAGGTGTGGGGTCTCAGGCACAGCTGAAATGCTCCTTTCCCACTTCGGAGCCTCCGTATTCGGAAACAAATATCCCCAAAAGGCAGCAGGCCCCATTTCATCCTGTGAGCCCTGGGGTCTTTGGGGGACAGTGCAGTTGGAGCTGCTGCCATGGGTAACCAGCGACTGGTGGGGCGTAGACCCTTCCAGATGACTGGCTCTGCCCGAGGTGCAGTCGTGCTGGTCCGTGATCTTCAAGCTCATCTCCCCTTGTTCTCTCCGCAGGCTGCCCGGTGCCCCGAGGAGGCTGCTGAGCCCCAGGCCATGGTCCCCTCTCGCAGGACGTGGAACCTGGGAGCCACGCCCTCGCTGCGGGGCCTGTGGAGAGTGGGCCGGGCCCCGGAGCCCGAGCCGGGGATGGCTCGCCCCGCCCCAGCCCCAGCCAGCCCGGCCGCCCGCCCTTTCCCACACACCGGCCCGGGGAGGTTGAGAACTGGTGAGTCCGCATTTTTAAAATGCCTCTTTATTTCCCTTCCTTCCTCCAGATACCAGAGATGAGACTGAGGTTTCTCACCGGTTCCTAAGCCCAGTCAGAGCTGTCAGGTAATTACAGGGTAACCGACAGCCCAGAGCCGGGCGGGCGTGGAGCCGGAGCGTCAGTCTCGCCGGGTGCTCCTTCCCTGCGCCCCTGTCTGGAAAGAGGAGACCTGGAAGCCGGGTTAAACTTTAACACGGGTCGGGCACAGAGCAGGGGAATCAGCTGCGTTCCCTCTGGCCAAGCTGGTCAGAGCTCTGCGGGCTGCCGTCCTTGGCCAAAAGCGTGTGGGCTCACTCCGGTCTCTGCCCAGGCTGGTAAACAAGGTAGGTGAAGTGGCTGCCCGGGCACCAAGCGCCGCTGACACTTGATCCTGCCTGGGCTGGTCCCTGGACGGCGTTGGGAGTGGACGGAGGCTGCTCCGGAACGTTGCCTGGCGGGGCTTGGGGGCCATGTGCTCATTTCAGGTGTTTCTGTAGAGACCCTGACAGCAGGTGGGCAGGGGTCCCAGAGTCTTGGCCCCCAGTGTCTCCCCGGGGAGCTGTCAGTGCCAGCTCGCCTTTCTGGGTCATGTCCCCCGGTGCTGCGAAAGGCAAGAAGTGAGCGGCTTCTCTGATTAAGGGCGGGGACTGGATTGACGGGGCTGGGGAGCTGCCCATGACCCTCTCCTGAGGCGTGGACAGGTTGCCCTGGTAGTGTGGGGGAGAGAGGGCTCTCTAGGCAAGGTGCCTTCAGGGGTCTGCTCCCTGTCCCTCGTGACTTACAGGAACAGGGTCTAGACTGCCAGCCTGTGAGGGCTAGCAGAGTCACTCTGGGCCATCAGGTCCAAGCCCCTCGGTGCACAGCAGGGGAAACTGAGGCCCAGAGAGGGCACACAGCAAACTCCTGTTCAGCCCTCTCTCCCACCACATTTGTGCTGTCAGTGGCAGCTGGACTGATGCCTCCTGAGGTCTCTCTGCTTCTATGGTTGTCTGGGGCTGGCTGCTCCCAAGCAGCACAGCCAGGCTGGGGATGACCCAGGGCCCTCGGGAAAAGCCTGGGCTTTTGGGCCAGGTAGCCCAGTTGTCTGAAAGGGGCGGAGGATGGCCTCTACCCCATAAGGTTGTCGTAAGGATTACAAATGTAATATGAATGAGTATTGCTTTTCTGGTAAAACAAAAACATTTTCCCTTCGAATACTTAAAACACATAGAAAAATATCAAAAAGGAAATAAAAATCACAAGCTAGTCACTGAACATTTTATGTAGTGCCTTTTAGTCATGTGTGTCTCTGTGTGTGTGTGTGTGTGTGTGTGTGTGTGTGTGCGCGCGCGCGTATAGGTATTTGAAATATTGTGTTATCTCAGCTTTCTAACCTGAAGGAAAAAATTGGGTATTATGAAGATTATATGACCATACAGACTTTTATCCACTTAAAACATTTAAGACAAAGGTCAGATGAAATCCTGTGTGTGAAATGCAAGCACTGTGCCTGCCACTGGACCTCAGCCAGCTCAGCTGCCCCAGGCCCCTCTGAGCCCCCCAACCAACCCCCATATTGCCACCCTGAGAGTCGGCTGGCAGAGGATTGGTTAGCACATGAGATTTGAATCCTGGCTCCTGTGACCCTGGGCACATTGTTAACCCTTCAGGGCCTCCGGTTCTTTGCCTGTCAGGTTGGGAGAATGCCCCCCACCTCCGTGGGGAGTTGTGAGGAGCTGATGGCAACTGTAGTCCTATTGGCCTGTACTGTGGGCCCTTTCTGTGTGCCTGGCACTACATGGGCACCATGTGTATCTCATCCATTTGATCCTCACCACAGGGCTGTGAAGTTGTCCCCATTTTATTGACAAGCAAACTGAGGATCAAGAAGGTGTGTAAAGGCTGGGCACTGTGGCTCACGCCTGTAATCCCAGCACTTTGGGAAGCCAAGACGGGCAGATCACTTGAGGTTAGGAGTTCGAGACCAGCCTGGCCAACATGGTGAAACTCTATATCTACTAAAAGTACAAAAATTAGTTGGGCTGGTGGTGCATGCCTGTAGTCCCAGCTACTCGGGAGGCTGAGGTGTAAGAATCGCTTGAACCTGGGAGGCAGAGGTTGCAGTGAGCCAAGATCGCGTCACTGCACTCCAGCCTGGGCAACAGAGAGAGACCCTGTCTCAAAAAAAAAAGAAAAAGAAAAAAAGAAAAAAAAAAATGTGTGTAAGGCTTGAAAACCACTTGGCCCAGTGGCTGGCACTTGGGATATTGTTATGCCCCAGGGTAGTGGCTCTGCAGTGTGCCTCATGACTTGTGAGGCTGGCCCCCATCATCCCACCCTGTTCAGCCCTGCAGGTGGAGGTGGGTGGCTGGGGCATCGCTGCCGCAGCCCGCCCTCTCTCCCATGGGTGAGAGAGGCAGTGTGTCAGAGGCACAAGGGGATGCACGTTAGCTGGTTCTGAATACGCTTGGGGAAGCAGCGGAGGCTGGGCCACCTGGTGTGGATTTGGTCTTAATGAAGTCAGGGAAGAAATTGCCACCTAGAGGCAGCCGGGGTAATAAAGCCATAGCCCTGTGCAAGTCCTCAAAGCTTCCTGCAGGCTGGCTGGCATCGGCTTCCTTCCGTTGCCCTGCTGAGCAGGTGCCTGCCCCAAAAGCCACCGTGAGGACAGGGGAGCCTCCAGTGGGGTATTGGGCCCCCTCCAGAAGAGAATCTTGGGGCGGCTTTTGGTAAGAAAGGAGTGTAGCCCCTGCCCTGAGCCAGGCCTTCCGCTCTGTGCAGGGCAGGCATGTAAGGGTGTGTGAGCCCCTTCTGGCCTCATCTGGACCAGCCAGGGGTATGTGAAAGCTGAGGTCAGCTGTGGCCCTGGCCAGTGGTCCATGGCTAGCAGTCTTTGGCCAGCGGTCGGAGCGTCTCACCTATCTCTCTGTCCTGGGACAGGGCGTGGAAAAGATACCCCAGTCTGCGGTGACGAGGACTCCAGTGCCCGAAGTGCAGCTCGCCCGGCCCTAGCTCAGTGCCGAGCCCTTAGCGTGGACTGGGCTGGCCCCGGAAGCCCCCACGGGCTCTACCTGACCCTGCAGGTAAGCACTGGGGCCTTCCAGGCTGCATGTGCCTTGGCTCTCTGAGCTCCAGTGGCTGGGTTCCTGCCAGGTTCCTGGGGGTAGGAAGCACCAGGGGAGAGCCAGGGACCCGTCTCGCACCTCTCTGCTAGGCACCTCATGACCCCTCTGCCTGCGGGCCTGCTTTGTTAAGTCAGACAGGGGAAATCTCACAGGAGCTGACAGGAACTTTTCAGTCATGCCCTGGCTGAGGTGTTAAAGTGAGAAGCATGGGGCCTTAGCTGAGATGGGCAGAGCTTGGAGAAGGTATTGGGAAAACAGGCAGGTTTGGGGTAGTTGGTTATTCTCAAACATGGTTATGTGAGTATTTCCTTGTATTTCCTTGGGAATATTTCCTTGTTTGAAGTGAGAATTCAAAGCTAGATGGGGATTCACTAAAACTTGGGGTCTTCTCCCTTGTAGTTATCACCAAGTGACTTTAAAAAGACAAAGTAAGGCTGGGTGCAGTGGCTCAGGCCTGTAATCTCACCACTTTGGGAGGCTGAGGTAGGAAGATCGCTTGAGCCCATGAGTTCATGACCAGCCTGGACAATATAGTGAGACCCATCTCTATAAAAAGAAAAATAAAAAATTAGCTGGGCATGGTGGTTCCTATAGTCCCAGCTACTCAGGAGGCTGGAGTGGGAGGATCGCTTGAGCCCAGGAGGTTGAGGCTGCAGTGAGCTGTGATTGCATCACTGCACTCCAGCCTGGGTGATGGAGTGAGACCTTGTCTCAAAAAAAAAAAAAAAAAAAAAAAAAGAGATAAACTTTACATATATAGGTATATTTGGCTATAGAAATAATACATAATGATAATAGTAGTAAGAGCTACTGTTTATCAAACACAGACTTTGTGCCAGGCATTAAAGATCTCATATCAGTCCTCATGATATTCATGACAGTCTCAGGATACAGTATTTGATCTGAGCTTTATAGATGAGGATGTGGAGGCTCAGAGAGGTTAAGTTACTGGCTGCTGGTCACATATTTGACCATTCAACACAACTAGCCTTGTAACAGGGCAGAGATACAATTACCCAGAAACTGCCTCTCATAGTCTTCTATCTTTGAGAAATCCACTATTAAGTATTTGGTGTTTATTTATTTATGTTTCCTATATCGAACTACTTAATTATATTTATATGATTTTTATTTTTGAGATGGAGTCTCATTCACTCTGTTGCCCAGGCTGGAGTGCAGTAGCATGATCTTGACTGCAACATCCGCCTCCCAGGTTCAAGTGATTCTCCTACCTCAGCCTCCTGAGTAGCTGGGATTACAGGTGTGCACCACCACACCTGGCTAATTTTTGTATTTTTAGTAGAGATAAGGTTTCACCATTTCACTATGTTGGCCAGGCTGGTCTTGAACTCTTTTTTTTTTTTTTTTTTTGAGACGGAGTCTCGCTCTGGAGTGCAGTGGCATGATCTCAGCTCACTACAACCTCCGCCTCTCAGATTCAAGTGATTCTCCTGTCTCAGCCTCGCGAGTAGCTGGAATTACAGGCATGCGCCACCATGCCCAGCTAATGTTTGTATTTTTAGTAGAGACAGGGTTTCATCATGTTGGCCAGACTGGTCATGAACTCCTAACCTCAAGTGATCTGCCCACCTCAGCCTCCCAAAGTGCTGGGATTACAGGTGTGAGCCACTCAGCCGTATTTATGGATTTTTTTTTTTTTTTTTTTGAGACAGAGTCTCACTCTATTGCCCAGGTTGGAGTGCAGTGGCATGATCTCAGCCCACTGCAACCTTCACCTCTCAGGTTCAAGTGATTCTCATGCCTCAGCCTCCTGAGTAGCTGGGACTACAGGCATGCGCCACTACACCTGGCTAATTTTTGTGTTTTTAGTAGAGATGGGGTTTCACCATGTTGGCCAGGCTGGTCTCGAACTCCTGACCTCAAGTGATCTGCCCACCTGGGCCTCCCAAAGTTCTGGGATTACAGGCATGACCCACAGTGCCCAGTGCATATTTATATTATTTTTATTACTTATTTTACATGTTATTCTGTGACTAGCTCTTTCCCTCAAGTAACTCCTCGTAGTCTCTTCATGCTCATCAACACATAGAGAACTACCTTTTTTTTTTTTTTTTTTTTTTTTTGAGCAAGGTCTGGTTCTATTGCCCAGGCTGGAATGCAGTGGTACAATCTCACTGCAACCTCCAGCCATGTCATCTCACCTCAGCCTCCTGAGTAGCTGGTACTATAGGCATGTGCCACCACGCCCGGCTAATTTTTGTAATTTTTGTAGAGATGGAGGCTTCATCATGTTGCCCAGGCTGGTCCTGAACTTGTGGGCTCTGCCTTGGCTTCCCAAAGTGCTGGGATTACAGGTGTGAGCCATCACGCCCAGCCCTACCTCTTTCTTTTACACTGCTGCACAATGGTCTACTTCAGGACTTACCATAAGTTATTTATAACAGATCCTCTGTATTGTTTCTGATTGCAGTGAGCTCCTTAAACAAATATCTGTGCTATGTTCATGCAGCAATAGCTTTGAGTATTTTCAGGGCAGTACAAGCTCTGCCCATTTTTAATTAATGCATTCGTTCAACAGATTATTTAGAATGTGCCAGTCTGTGCTAGGGTCAGAGGTGCAGTGCAGAAAGAGACAAGAGAGTCTAGCAGAGGCACCAGAGAGTGACCAAATAATCATGAATGGATGAAGGCAAACCAGGCAGGGGCCAAGAAGGCAGTGGCAGAGGATCGACACCAGAGTCATCTGGGGGTGCTGCCAAGGCCCACCCCCCAAGAAAACCATTGCACTAGAGGGCCCACCACTCCCCCACGTTCTCCTGACCATCCACACACACTGATTCTGCCCTTTCTGGAAGCTACATTTTCACAGAGCCTTGAAGGAATGGGTACAAATGGTGGGCAGGATGGAGTGTGGAAAACACATACCATTCAAGGGGACATATCCTCCCTGGTACAAATGGATGTCCTGGCCCAGGTAGCTTGTTTTCCCAGCCCCTGATCTGAACATGGATGCAGGGGTTGATGTTGCTTCAGGGACAGTCTTGTGTTTTGAGATGTTTCTTGTCTCTTCTCATGTGATTCATCTGAAAACTGAACCAAAAGTTTCTTCTTTTATCTGTTCAAATCTGCTAGAAAGCAGGTCTGGTGAGAGAACAGTTAAAGAAACCCGAGGACCCGCTCTTTGCTCTGTCTTGAGCCATCCATAGTTAAATTGGAAGGCGGCAGTCAGAAGAAACCCACAGCCTCGAGTTGGGTGGTGGCTCTGTTCTTGAGCTTTGATTATGGGGTGCTGAGTTGTGGTTGCTGAGTCCTGGGGTCAGCAGATCTGCTGAAGATCTCTGGGATGCTGGCACCAGCAACTAGCTTCCACGTTCACATCCTGGTGGGCCCCCACAAAGCTCCATTATGCGGTAGGTGCTTCAGGATTGAAGATGTGGGGCCAGGGTGGGTCCCAAGCACAGTGCGGCGACCTGGTGGCCTTAGTGACACCCCCTCCCTAGGCTCTGTCCAGCAGTTAAAACCTGAGATGCACCCCACAGAGGCGCTGCAGAAATTCCCAACCCCCCAGGGCCCCGTCTGTCCTTCCTGTGGCTTGGCCAACAGGCCAGAAATAGTGTAACCTTTGCCCTGGCTGGCAAATGGAAACTTCCAGCTGCTGTCCTTGCCGCCATGGATCACAAGCCTGCTAGCGATGGTGTGGCAGTTGGTCACAGGGTGGGGACAAAATTAAGTCGGAGGCAATTTTCTATTTTCTTTTTGAGACACAGTCTTGAGCTGTCACCCAGGCTAGATTGCAGTGGTGCAATCTCAGCTCACTGCAACCTCCACCTCCTGGGTTTAGCGATTCTTCTGCCTCAGCTTCCCGAGTATCTGTGATTACAGGTGCCTGCCACCACACCTGGCTAATTTTTTTTCTGTTTTTAGTAGAGATAGGGTTTCGCCATGCTGGCCATGCTGGTCTCGAACTCCTGACCTCAGGTGATCCACCCGCCTCAGCCTCTCAAAGTGCTGGGATTACAGGTGTGAGCCACTGCGCCCAGCATGAATATTCCTAAATATAAGAGGTGTGTCCTCCACCCGCCCTTCTCAAGTGGAGCTCGGGGTCGAGAGAAGGAGGGGGTGAATTTTGGGCTAAGGAGCCTGCTGATGTCACTTTTCTTGTCTTTTCAATTATCTGTATTGGCTTTTTGAATGTCAAAGTAAAAAAATGTGAAGATTACAGGAATCATATCCTGATAATACTTACCTCATATCAAGCCCTTACTATGTGGCAGGCGCCTTCTGAGGACTTGGCTGCAATTGTCTGTTACTCTTCACACAAGCTCAATGAGGTGGTCCTGTTATTACCATTTTTATTTTAAGAATGAGGAGAATGCAGCTTCAAGAAGGTAAGTAACTTGCCCAGCATCACACAGCTTAGCCAAGGAAGAGCCAGTTTTCATACACAGGACTTGCCGCCTCTAGACTACAAGTTTATTTTTTAGAGTGAGCACTTTTAAAAGAGTAATTTATTTTTTTGTTTTGAATTTAAAGGTCACAAAGACACACAGAAATTGTCTGCTATCTCTCTTCCAAGATAACCTCTGTTGATATGGAAAAAAAAAAAATGCTGGGCGTGGTGGCTCATGCTTGTAGTCCTAACATGTTGGGAGGCTGAGGCAGGAGGATCGCTTGAGCCCAGGAGTTTGAGATCAGCCTGGGAAATATGGCAAAACCCCATCTCTACACAAAAAATACAAAAATCAGCTAGTCATGGTGGTGTGTACCTGTAGTCCCAGCTACTCGGGAGGCTGAGGTAGGGGGATTGCTTGAGCCCAGGAAGTCAAGGTTGCAGTGAGCTGTGATTGTGCTATTGCACTCCAGCCTCGGCCACAGAGTGAGACTGTGTCTTAATATGTATAGTTCTCTAGATTAAACAAAAAAAGAAAAGAAAAAGAAAGAAAAAAATGGCCAGGCGCGGTGGCTTATTCCTGTAATCCCAGCACTTCAAGAGGTCGAGGCGGGTGGATCGCTTGAAGTCAGGAGTTTGAGACCAGCCTGGCCAACATGGTGAAACCCCGTCTCTACTAAAAATACAAAAATTAGCCAGGTATGGTGGCAAACACCTGTCATCCCAGCTACTTGGGAGGCTGAGGCAGGAGAATCGCTTGAACCTGGGAGGCGGAGGTTGCAGTGAGCCGAGATCGCACCACTGCACTCCAGCCTGGGTGACAGAGTGAGACTCTGTTTAAAAAAAGAAAAGAAATAAACAAAAAACAAAAACAAAAAAAAACCACACAGTCATTGTTTATAAGGTTAACAACTCAAATGCCAAAGAGGTTCAAAATGAAATGTAAGGCCACCTCCTTTCCCCTCTTCTCACGTTCTCTCTGTTGTGAACTTTCTTTTTATTCCCCCCAAATTGAAATGATGCTTGTTTCTACTCTCAGCCACTACACCATCTCCCCAACCTTCCAGAGAGGATCACTGTCTATATAGTTCTCTAGATTTGTCTCTATGCCTGTTTTATTTTCATGATCCTCAAATGGGCTCACTCTTTGCATGTGGCCCTGCCACCTGCCTTGGGCATCTTTATGTGTGAGCGGTAGGTGACGTTCTCTGGATGAAACCCCTCTTCGTGCCTCCCCTCTCTCTTCCTGTGCCTGCGCACTGGCCCTCTCTGTCTCAAGTCCTTTGCCCGTGTTCGCCCTGGAAGAGGAGATGGCTTCTCATGGCTTCTCGATAGCCCTGTGGGGCGGGGAAAGTGAAGGAGGCAGGGCTGTGGCCCTTCTGCTCAGACAGACTCATGGGCAGCCTCCTTGGCAGTCCTGGGGGTTCCATCTGGAGATGCAGAGCTGTGTGCCTGGGGTGGCAGCATCGGCATGGGAGCAGTTGCCCTGAGGTTGATATGTGTGTGGTGGGGCTGGACAGGTGCCTGTGGGGCGTGTGCGCCGGAAGTGAGCCGCCTCTGTGCTGGTGACTCTCAGACTCTGCAGGGATGGCATGAGCTTCGCCTGAGGACTTGAAGTACCTAAGAACCTTCTTTGCTGGGGCAGAAGACCAGCTGCTGAGGGAGGCCAGGATAAGGCACTGCCACTGTCTTGCTGTGGGACCTGGCACATCCTCTTCCAGATCCTGGGCCTCAACATCCCCACCCACCCACACAGGGAGGGACTGGACCCCCTGGGCCCTGGGATCCTGGCCAGCTCTGGGAGTGCACCATCCTTTGGCTCGAGGGTCCTTCCCTGGCGCAGTCTCCTTCATGTGAGGATTCTGGTTGTGTCTTGGCAGCAGGCCCTACAGGACAAGGGGTGCAAGAGCCAGAGTCAGGGGACGAAAGAAGAGAAGCTTTGGAAGAGACAGGCACCGGCCCCCAGGCGGGCCCGGGAGGCCCAGGAAGCTGGTGGCACCATGAATGTAGAGAATACAGGTAAAGCAGGCCTGCCTGCCGACCCGGCACTCCCCAGTGAAGCCAGCACAGGAGGGAGGCTCTTGTGCGGTTGGTGCTATCCCTATGCCCTGTCCTCCCTGGCTGGAGGTGGCCTAGACAGACTCCAGCTGCCTGACCCACAGCTCCAAGCCCCCAGCCTGCCTCTCCCGGATTCAGGGACAGTGGTGTGTATGGAACCTTCATCTCGACCTGCCTCCCACAGCATCCAGGCCCCACCCAGTGATAAGAGGCCTTGGCCAGCATGGGCTGGGGTTGAATTTCTCTGCTTTTTGTCTTTTCCCAGTGCCTGTCTAAAGCAGGGCAAGGGTGGCAGCCTCACAGACGCCACTGCCTGCAGAGAGAGACTCGGCCTTCTCCCTCCTATCCATGGGCTCCCAGGGTCTGGAGGCTCCTAGAACAGGACTTTGATTCTCCTGGTCAGAGGCTGAGATAAAGGAGCCGGTGGCTCAGCTATTCTCTGGCAGGGTCTGCCATGGTGTCCAGGGCTGGCTGGTTCTGGAAGATTCTACAGGCCCCCCTTGTAGTCTTACGGGTCCATGCCGGGGATCCCTGGCAGTAAGCGAGAGCCCGGTGATAATGGGGAAGCAGCATCCTCCAGGATCCCGGGGGAAGGCCGAGAGCATGTGAAGGAAAGATGAGCTGGCCTTTCTGTCATCTTCCTCCTCCATCGCCAAAAGGTTAACTTGTGTGTCTGAACTTGCCATGTGGTGGAAGGAGCCACTCCCTTCTCTGAGGCTGTCCAGAGCCCCGTTCTGGCGTTCTGGCCTGTCTGGGCCCAGGCACTCTTCTGCAGCGAGCGGCAGGGGTTGGGGTCTGGCTGAGTGTGAGCAGGCCAGCCTCGGGCAGGGGACATCATCTTGCTGATTGTGCATTGAGAAGAGGAAGGCCGATTTCAGGAAACAGCAAGGGTGACCTGGTCAGTGGGGCCAGGCCGTGCCTGCATCGCATCTTTGAACCCTGAGTGCAACCTCTCCAGCACAAGGACCCATTTTATTTCACCTCGTCCTCCCATCCTCCCCTTTCTGGGACCTCCCTGATCTTCTTGGAGATCTTTTCTCCACAAGCACTCTCCTGGCCCCCGTCCCACTGCCCTGCCGCGGTGCCGAGACCCGGCGAGCCCCTCTGGGGGTGACATCCCATGACGTGAGCAGTGTTCCGGATGAACTGGGCCCTCCGAGGCCTCATTTCTGCCCCATGGCCTGTTGTGTAACAGCCACCCACGCCTGTGCCTCTCCACGGTGCTGGGCTCCTTTCAGGCAAGGCCCCTTGTCCCCATTTCTCCTAGGAAGCTCCTGCCGGGCCCCTCCCACATGTCTCTCGAGTGGCAGAACCAGCTCCCGGGCCAGGAGTCCAGTGCATTCCCTGCCTCACTGCAGCAGCCTGCAAAGGGCTGAGGGCCACGCTGGTCACATGCCGCTCATGCTGCCGCGTGTGCAGGCCTGGAAGCATCCGTCTGACCTCACTCGCTCTAGAACAGATCACAAGAGCTTGGCCAGCTCTGTGTGACATGCATGCTGCGTCACGTGCAGGCCACACGGCCAGGGTCACCACCCAACCGGGGATGCCCAGCTCCAGCTCTCCGGAGTACTCGGGTGGAGGAGGGAAGAGCCAACCTATGTGTGCCCCTCCTGCTCTCCTAGAGCGGGGCGGGGGGCCTCTACCCATCTGCCCCTCCTCCTGGGGCTGTGCCAAGATGTCCCCGCCCAGCTGCAAGCTGTACCCTCCCTACTTCCCTGTCCATCTGAGTCTGTTTGGCTTCCCTCAGGCCAGGCTGTCAGAGGGGTGTGTGACTTCAGGTACAAGTGACTTCCTTCCCAGGGTCTAGGAGCCCCCAACCCCAGCTTGCTAAGGGCTGGGATTCCTGGGGACTAATGTGGGAACGCCTAGAGCCCCAGGCTCCAAGGTAGAGAGCAGCGTTCTCTGGCCAGCAGATGCCCTTCTTCACCCTTCACTCTGCCACGCTCTGTCATGTCCCATTTGTGCTCCCTGAGGGGAGGAGGCAAATCCCCCACCCTTCCCAGCCCCCCATTCTTCTCTCTCTCCCCCAAACTCTTTGCTCCCTACCTGCAGAGACCATGGCCATTCTTGGCGCCTTGGAAGCAAGCTATAACAAGCATCCCAGGCCCCGTGCACAGGTCATGGGCCCCAATTCTGTGTTCTTGTCCTTCATCCATCTGTCCATCTCTCTCATTCTTGGTGACAGGACAGTGGCGGGCCTTTGGAGGAGGAGGACTCCCTCTGTCTTGCCTGGGAGGTCCCTGCGCTCCATCTTTGCTAGGTGCTGGCTGGCTGAGTTCTTGCCCCATGTGCAGGGCGGGCTTTGTGTCCTGGTCTGTCTGTCCCTCCCACATGCACACGGCTCCCCTGGCTCCCCTCCCTCTGCACAGTTGACCACTTGCCACATGGGGAGGCTGGGGAGCCCCACTCTTCTGTACTCTTGAGAGGGTTTGAGACTTAAAGAAATAACGTTCCTACAAGAATAGAGTTTTCTAGGGTGAGAATCCCTTGTCTTTCCCAGCTGCGATTCCTTTCAGCCTGGCCATGGAGAGAGGCTGGCCCATCAGACCTAGAACATGTGCTTTGAGAGCTGTATTCAGTGGAAGTTGCTTTCTTAAGTCCTGATCCAGGCAATTTAATCCCCCAGATGCTGCCTGGGGAAGTGTCTTTTTCTGGGACAGGCCCTGGAGGTGCCAGCTAACCTATGCCGCTGCTGCCCCAGCTTCACCTGGTTGCCCACCCCCTCTGCTTGCACCCCTATCATCCCTGGCGGTCTGCCCTGTTGTGATGGACCCTCTCCTCTGCCAGCGTGGGACCTCTGCTGCCCTCTCATCAGCCACTACTTTGCTTGTAGGTGGGCGTCTCTTTGGCAGCAGGAGGTGCTTGAGCCTGTCAGGGCCACCAGGTGCGGCCCCCGTGGTGCATAGGATGGTGGAGGCCATGTCCCAGCTCCAGGAGGAGAAGGCCCAGCTACAGGAGGAGCTGGTGGTCCTACGGGAGAGGCTGGTCCTCCGCGACAGTGACCAGCAGGTCACATCCACCCAGCTGCAGAACCAGGTACCTGGGGAGGCTGGGATGGGCAGAGGCCACTGCCCACTATGGAGCAGGTCAGAGGACACCACCTGGGGCACCTGACCCCACCAGGCTACTGGTGTAAGAGGAGACAGCTGGGGTCTCATCTCCTGGAATATGCTGGAGGGTAGGGTGGTAAGAGTCAGAGGCCTCCCATCCTGGAGGATGCACTTTTGAGATGCAGCATTTCTTTCAGCTTACAGGGGCCTCCCATCTTGATCCTTCTTGTGCCCCATCTCCTTGGGTTACAGGGGGCCAGGACCTGCCTCCCTAGGAGGTGATGTAGATGTGAGTGGAACAGGAAGGTGCAGGGTGCTTCCCACCCTGAGTCTACCCCATCTTCCGTGGTGCCCTGCACTGGGCAGCCCGAGTGGACAAAACTCATCAGATGGTCACCCCACAGGAGGTTGGCATGACATTTCTCATGCTTTTGATTTCTCGTTAAAGGTGGACGCTAGTTTGAGTGCGTGTTGGGGAAGGGATCTCTCAAACCTCTGGAAGCCAGGGAGAGCCAGGGTTCATGCAGGTCAGCGTTGTCTCCTTCGTTGACTGGGCAGAACATTTGGGTACCATTGGCTGATAAGCTGCATGTCCTGTGGGGCTGACCGCCAGCCCTCTTGTGTATGTGTGGCTGCGTCACTTTCTTCTCCTTCTGGATCTCCACTCAGCTCCCAGCCCTCCTTCCCCGCTCTTCTCCTCAGTGGCTGTCTCTGTGGTTGTATCTCAGCCTTGCCCACTTCCCCAAGGTCTGCAAGCCCGTCTGCCACATCATCCCCGCTTCTGATCCAGTGCCCTGGCCTGGCTGTTGGGCCTCTGAGCTCTGGGCCCAGGACTCTGTGTTGACTGACTGGCCTTCAGGTAGAGCTAAGTTCTTTGTGTGTCCCATGAGCCAGCAAAGAGATGGCCTGGACATGCCGATGTCTGCCTATTGTGCCTCATATGTGCTGTGACTTGTTCTCTCAGTTCTGGGGGCAGCATATTGTGCACGCTTTTGAAATGCAGCATTTCTTCTAGCTTACAGGTGTGTTCTCTTCTCAAGAATGGCCTGGCCTGCCCCCATGCCCCTTGCTGACTCGGGTGGGCCTCCTTGGGGTGCCCCTCATGCTCTGTGTCTTCCTCTTACACACTTACCCCACAGCTTGACTATCTGGGCCTGCCTTCCTCACTAACTGGGGGCTCCTCCAGGCCAGCCCTGTATCCTCTTGCCTGCTGCATGCCCACCTGCTTCCTTGGGTATTTGTGCATGCCCCTTTTGTACTCGCACTGAGCTGGGCATGGGGGATACCCCAGTGGACAGTAGGCTCCCACCCAGTGGAGGCTTTGCCTGTGGGAAAATGGACATTTGCTTCACACACCCACGTAAAGTGGGAAGGGCTCGATGGGATGGGCACACGCATGGCCTCGAGGTCTTGTCCCTGGGCATCTTGAGCTAAGCTCTGGGACAGAGCAGAGGGAAGTGCACTCTGAGCTGGGGCCCAGCCAGTGCAAAGGGACTTGTGGTAGGAGGGGCATGGCTCAAGCGCCTTGGGGGTTGCAGGGGGTCCAGGGCCCACCCTGCAGGACACGCATGTGGCCTCAGGCAAAGGCTGAGCAGCCCCTCTTCCTTCCCTGACCTTCCCCAGTTAGGCTCTTCAGACACTTCATTTTGCAAATAAGTGTTTTTTTAAAGGGCTTCGTGGGCTGGGCGCAGTAACTCATGCCTGTAATCCCAGCATTTTGGGAAGCCAAGGCAAGTGGATCGCTTGAGGTCAGGAGTTCAAGACCAGCCTGGCCAACATAGTGAAACCATGTCTCTACTAAAATTACAAAAATTAGCTGGGTGTGGTGGCGGGCACCTGTAAGCCTAACTACTCGGGAGGCTGAGGCAGGAGAATCGCTTGAACCTGGGAAGGGAAGGTTGCAGTGAGCCAAGATCACGCCACTGCACTCCAGCCTGGGCAACAAGAGCAAAACTCCGTCTCAAAAAAAATAAAAAAAGAAAAGAAAAGGACTTTGTGGAGATATGATTCACATGCCATAAAATTCACCCCTTGAAGGTGTACCATTCGGTGGTCGGTGGTAAGCATAGTAAGATGGCAACGCACCCATCACCAGTGTCTCATTGCCAAACATCTTCATCACTCCACCGGGCCTGCTGACGGTCACTCCCCGTGCTCCTTGCCCCACAGCCCCTGGCAACCTTTAATCTGCTTTCTGTTTTTATGGATTTGTCTTCTCTGAACATTTCATAGAAGTGAAATCATCGTATCTAACCTTTTGTGACTTTAAAGAGGTTTTTGAAAACATTTTTCCTTTAATTAACAAAATCAACTTACGTTTTAAGAAGGGAAACTGAGGAGAAAACATCTCAGCCTTTTTAGTTCTTTGACCCCCAGCTCTCCAGCCACTCTTAGGAGAAACCCCGAGCCTACCCCACTCCCGCAAGTGACTTAGGAATTCAGAATGGTTCCTAGGCTTTGTTCTCATTTTGTCCTTGAACGTTGTTTTTCTTTTTCTTTTCCTTTTTTTTGAGATGGAGTTTTGTTCTCGTTGCCCAGGCTGGAATGCAATGGCGCGATCTCGGCTCACTGCAGTCTCCACCTCCCAGGTTCAATCGATTGTCCTGCATCAGCCTCCCAAGTAGCTAGGATTACAGGTATCCATCACCATGCCTGGATAATTTGTATTTTTAGTAGAGATGGGGTTTCACCATGTTGTTCAGGCTGGTCTCGAACTCCTGACCTCAGGTGATCCACCTGCCTCGGCCTCCCAAGGTGCTGGGATCACAGGCATGAGCTACAGCACCCGGCCTGTCCTTCAACTTTCTGACTGCAGCTCTTTTCTGGAAATTTCTCAGGGGATGTATCTCAACTCTTCTGACTGCAGCTCTTTTCTGGAAATTTCTGTAGGGATGAATGAAGTCATGGTCTCTGAGATACTCTCTGGGGGCCGAACCTTGTGGAGATGTGGCTAACCACATGGGTCTAGAGCTGGGTTCAAACCCTTGACTTTGGCACTACTCATTACTTTATGTGACCTGGGACAGCACTACCACTCTGCATGGCCATTTCTATCCGTGAAATGAAATATTGTCAAGCGCGGTGGCCTGCCTGTAATCCCAGCACTTTGAGTTTGAGACGGGCTGGATCACGCAGGTCAGGAGATCGAGACCATCCTGGCTACGCAATACAGTGAAACTCGTCTCTACTAAAAATACAGGAAAATCCAGCTGCAAGGTGGTGGGCGCCTGTTGTCCAGCTACTCGGGAGGCTGAGGCAGGAGAATCACTTGAACCCGGGAGGCGGAGCTTGCAGAGCTGAGATCCAGCCATTGCACTCCCAGCCTGGGCGACAGAGTGACTCCGTCTCAAAAAAAAAAAAAAAAAGAAATGGATGTAAGAATAGGATGTGGTGAGATGATCCCTAGTGAGCTGGTGTTGCTGCACTACACCATTGTTGCCACTGGGAGAGCTTGACGGGAATCCCAGAGCAGGATTCTCATTCTGGCTGTGCCACGCCAGCTGGGCAGCTGAGAAGTCACCTCCTCCTGAGCCTCCTTCACTTTCCCAGTCTCTAAACTGGGGCTTACAAATGCTGTATTGCAGTTTAGGGGTGGAGATCTGGTTGTAAGAGTGGACAGAAAAGGATGGTCAACTGTAACGTGTGGTGCGTCGTGAGCTGTCACTCCCATGCCCTGGTCTCCGCTGGCCTCACGTGGTTTGACGTAGACTTGGACTTTCCTGGAATTCTTCTGAACGCTGCCTCTAAGCAAAGCTCGCCAGGGGATACTGTGCCTTGTTTTCCAGGATGCCATGTTCCCAGCCCTGTGCACTTTGGCTTCCTGATCATTGCTTTCACACTGCTGTTCCTGCAAGGCCTCTGTGGTTCATGGTTATGGGTGAGGTCTGTATGGCTGTGTCAGATACTTAGTTCCAGTGCTAGGTCCACCACTTACTGGTCAGTGACTCTCAAGTGCAAGCTGGGGTTTCCAATCCATGGCTTAACCTCTTAGAGCCTCAGTTTTTCTTCCTGTAAAATGGGGGATAATAATAGTTCCTACTCAGGGGAATAGGGGATGAAAATGATCTGGCAGGAAACTTCTGCCCTACTGGCAAAGCTGACTCAGCACGGGGCTCCAATATCACCAGTTAATTTGGGTTTGTGGGGCTGCAGGTGGTCTTTTCAGGCCTCCCACGGCTGTGCCAGGTGGAGGAGGCGTTGTACATACTGAGAGCAATTGGGCCAAAAGGTCCATAGTCCTTGAGTTGACCCAGTTGACTCCAGGCCACAGAGGCCGCTCATCTGGTCTGGTGACTACAGGAGGCTGTGGCTGCTGGGATGACTCCTCCAGTGTTGTTAATAACAGTCTCCAGGCTACGCCCTGCTGGCCTTGAGTTCCTCTGTCCTCTCTGTGGATGTCCCTAGAGCCATGGCCTCAAGGTTCCAAGTTCTAAATGTGACATGCTGCCCAGACCTCACTATTCCTTTTATTTTGAGACGGTCTCACTCTGTCACCAGGCTGGAGTGCAGGGCGTGATTCAGCTCACTGTAGCTCCTGCCTGGGCGGCCCAAGCCATCCTCCCACCTAAGCCTCCTGAATAACTGGGACCAAGGTGTGTCCAACCACACCTGGCCCACTTTGTATTTCTGTCCAGACGGAGTCTTGCCATATTGCCTATGGGCAGGTCTCAAACTCCTGGACTCAAGAGATCTGCCTGCTTCAGCCTCCCAAAGTGCTGGGATTACAGGCGTGAGCCACTGTGCCCGGCACTCACCACTCCTTCCTGCCCCTGCACCTCAAGAGTGAACCTTAAAACCAGCCCAGGTCGGGCACAGTGGCTTACACCTTATAATCCCAGAACTTTGGGAGGCCGAGGTGGGGCAGATCATCTGAGGTCAGGAGCCCGAGACCAGCTTGAAGCACATGGTGAACTGCTTACTAAAAATACAAGAATTCAGCCGGGGGTGTGGTGCTGTACGCTTGTAAGTCCAAAGGTTTGTGAGGCT